CTTTGTGGTTAAATTGAGTTCTATGCCAGCCGAGTTAACCTTGATTCCCGCTTTGAAGATTCAATGTCACCTTCTACCCCGAATCGTGCCGAGCATCCTCGGTTTAATCTGGAGCAACAGAATTTATGCTTGGATAGCAGCCCTCGCGAACAGTATTTGAGGCTTCCAGCTTAGCTGGGGTTATCCTGGGTCTATTTATAGATGCTCCCCTCGGAGAGTTTTCCAAGCAGTATTAAAGCTGGTGTTTTGTTTTTGTTTTTTTTGTTTTTGTTTTTTTCCTCTCCCTTCTCCCCTTCACATCCTTGCAAGCTTCAATCTGGATCCGGACTTCTCTTGGCTTCTCTGTGGTGCTTTTGGCAACTGACATGACGGAGTTTGGCCAAGCTACAGGATGGCCAGTTTTTTTCTCTTTTCCTTTCAACCCAGACAGGGTGGCTGGCTTTGCTAAAGGAACTGTAAAAGTTTCCAAGCATCGTTGGGTGTTGTTTTTTCCCAGAACGATGTTTGTAGGCCGATGCAACGCAATGCCCAAGGTGCTTTTTCAGGAGGCAACTAGACTTTCGTTTGAAGATATTTCACTTCTCATCCAAGAGGTTTCTTCAGCTCTGACTGGATGGTGGGGAAGGGAAGGATTTATATTCCTGGCAGACAGCTGGTCATTTGCATCCTTTTTAGAGGGTCGTTGAGGCCACTTGGAGGTTTCTCTGTGTCCTCAGGATCACCTGAGTTAGTACTCCTGGATCCTGTAGTCTGCAATTTTTTTCCTTTGGAAATTCATTCCTACTCCCACACCATTCCAAGGGTGTTCGTCCCAAATTGTATAGCTAAAAGTCTGTAGAGATTCTCGGTCCTCCAGCTCATGGATGTCCCAAAGGTGCGTATCACTTCTCATCCGAGAAGCTTCTTCAGCTCTGACAGGAAGCTTTCCTCTGACAGGAATGCCCAGGGAGGTTTATCAGGGTTGGTATTTTATTTTATTTTATTTTATTTATTTTATTTTATTTTATTTTATTATTTTATTTTATTTTATTTTATTTTATTTTATTTTATTTTACATTATTTTACATTATTTATTATTTTATTTATTTTATTTATTTTTTATTTTATTTATTTTATTTATTTATTTATTTAATTAATACAGCATATACTCTCTCACAGTGACTTTAGGCGGCTTGCAAACAGCAGAAACACAAAATAGACAAAAATAAAAGCAATAACCCCCTACCTACCCACTCACTCCTGGCAACAACACATGATTAAATAAGCCGTTTCATGGCTTCCGTTGCACTCTGGTTTCCCCAGGCGTACTGGCAAAACCACGTCTTCAGGACCTTCCGAAAGACTGGCAGAGTCGTGGCCAATGCCAATCTAATTTCTGCAGGGATGATGGTCCAGAGGGAGAGTGGTGCGGTGGCCTAGAGTTGGAGCTCACAATCAGGAGGCTGTGAGTTCGATCTTAGGGAGAGGCAGATATTTCTCTCTCTGGGCACAATGAGAAGAGATCTGCTGTGAACTCCGCATTGGTGACAGGAAGGGCATCTGGCCAGTAAACACTCAGCTCCATTCAGTTGCCCAGGCTCCACCCCGATGTAAGGGATTATGGGGTCATTAAAAGACAGAAAAAATATGTTCCAGAGGGGAAGGTGCCACCAAGGAAAAGGCCCTTCTTCTTCTCTACGAGTTAGGTGGATGCGACCGGCAAGAGACGGTCCTTCAGATAACCGGGTCCCTGGTTCCCTCACCCACGAGGAAGATTTGCAAGTGTTAATTTTGGTATTCTTTGCCATAACGTTGACTCCAGTGGTTGACGAGGGCCCAGGCTTGCCGAATGAAGCCTCCTCCGGGCAGAGTGGCGCATTTGTAAGCAGAGAGGCGTAGTAAAACATTTGGCAAGGCTGGTGGTCCTTGGAGGAGGAGAAGATGGTCGTGCTCTTCCATATCAAGTAGCAAAAAATAAGGTCCGTGGGCTGGCAAGATGTTAAATTAATGCATCTTTAGCCTTTCTTCTGCAGTTGCAATTTATGTGACGGGGAGAGAAGAGGCAGCTCGGCTAAGGTGAAAGTTCAGACATATTTTGGGGGAGTTTGATTTAAGAGTCCGTTTTTTAAAAAAATAACGTCAACCGTGCCATCGTGAAGTCCGCGCCTTTCTTTTTTCAAGGTTTGTGCCTTGGGTGTGCATCCACTCTTCTCAGTGGCATGTACCATCACAGCCCAAGGCGGAGAGAGAGAGAAAACCCAAATCTGCTAATTTCCAAGTCTCTGTGTTGGATTTGCTTTGGGCTAAAATGAAATTGGACAATTTTGTGTATTAGGGCTGGAAACTCCAAAAATTGTCTGTGTGTTGAGTGAAACTGGTTAGGATGCCGTGCTGTAATCTGCTTTACTGCAAGGACTCAAAGGCTCAAAGGACTTCATGTGGACTTAACGTTTTACCAAAATACAGGCAGTTCTTAACTTACGACCACTCTTGATCTCCCCTTTTTGGAAGAGCTTTATAGCTCCCGCTGCCTTAAGAAAGTTCAAAATATTCTCAAAGATCCGTCTCATCCTGGGAACCCTTTTTTTGAACTATTACCATCTGGCAGATGGTGCAGAATAATAAAAACAAGGACAAATAGGCTGTAAAACAGCTTCTATCCCAGGGCAGGAGCTCTTTTGAATTCTACCGTATAGTGCAGTGTTGCTATGGTGTTGCGGGTTTTCAGTTCAATGTGTGGAGGGTGAAGGATGTGTGTTTGTGTTATTTTCATGGTCATGATGTGCACTGAAGATGGGGTTTGATTTTGTTGTACGAGGTGCAATGACAATAAAGTTAACCAAACTAAGTGAGAAATTTGTTAAGTGAATTTTGCCACGGTTGATCACTTGTCTTGCCACATTTATTAAGTGAACCACTGAGTTATTCAGTTGGTGGCATGGTTGTTAAGTGAACCTCGCTTCCCCATTGACGTTGCTTGTCAAGGCACTGCAGCCGTCATAAATGTAAGTCAGGGGTCAAGTATCCGAACGTAAATCCATGGGGATGCTGCAATGGCCATAAGTGTGAAAAACGGTCATGTTAACTATTTTCAGTGCTGTAACTTCAAACGGTCACTAAATGAACGGTTGTAAGTCAAGGACTATCTATACTACAGAAATAAGGGAATATTTACCTCCTCCTTTGGGGTACCTGAGTTTCTGCATCGATTCGCCTGCTGACAAACTCCAACTTAACTTTAAAAAAAATACAGACTCCCAAATGATTCTGAATCCTTTGAAATCGAAATGTTTCAAATATTTCAACAAAAAATTCCAGGAGAGGCAGTCCTCAACATACGAGCACAATTGGGCCCCCAGAATTTCTGTTGCTAAGCAAGACCATGGTTAAGTGAGTTTTGCTCCATTTTACGACCTTTCCTACCAGAGTTGTTGAGTGAATCCGTAGAGTTATTACGTTGGTAACACAGTTGTTAGGTGAATCTGGCTTTTCCCGCTGCCTTGGCTTGTCAGAAGGCCGCAAAAGGGGGATCCCATGCCCCCCCCCGGGACACTGCGACGGTCATATGTATGAGCCAGTCGCTGAGCAACTGAATAATGATTGCATGGCCATGGGTATGTTGCGACGGTCACAAGTTTGAATAACGGTCATGTCACTTTTTTTCCCAGTGTTGTTGTAACTTTAAACGGTCCCTAAGAGAATGGTTTTAAGTCGGGGACAACCTGTACAGATTCCCAAAGGATTCGGAAAGGAATTCCAGCCAGCTTTTCCCAAATCCAGTGTGTTTTACTTAACCTGTTCTTTCTAAACGATGTGAATATTAAGGGATCCATCCCTCACTATCTGCCATTCCCCATCTTCAGATTCGGCCTCTTCCTTTCCCAAGAAATGAGCGAGCTCTCTGTAACACGTAGCTGGAAACCCTGTGCGCCTCCCCTCTTCTCACATGTTCCTCAGTTCCTCGGTGGCTCAGTGGTTAGAGTGCAGTACTACAGGCTACTGCTGCTGACTGCTGGCTACCTGCAATTTGGCAGTCCAAATATCACCAGGCTCAAGGTTGACTCAGCCTTCTTCCAGTGTGGGTAAAATGAGGAGCCAGATTGTTGAGGGGCAAAGAGGCTGACTCTGTAAACCACTTAGAGAGGGCTGGAAAGCACTGTGAAGCGGTATATAAGTCTGTGCTATTCCTTCCTTCCTTCCTTCCTTCCTTCCTTCCTTCCTTCCTTCCTTCCTTCCTTCCTTCCTTCCATCCATCCATCCATCCATCCATCCATGGTGCACAGTGGGTAGAATGCAGCGTTGAAGACTAAGTCTGCCCACTTCCAGGAGTTTGATCCTAACCGGATCAAAGTTGACTCAGCCTTCCCTCCTTCCGAGGTGGGTAAAATGAGGACCCAGATTGTTGGGGGCAAGAGGCTGATTCTGTAAACCGTTTAGAGAGGGCTGGAAAGCACTATAAAGCGATATATAAGTCTAAGGGCTATTGCTAATGCTATGTTGCCTTTCATGACCAGGTGGGCTTCCATCCCCTTCCCACCCAAATCTCACCTTTGAATCCGAATTGCTCTGCACGTTGGCTTTGATGGTCAACGGACGTCGTCTCTGGTTCCTTTTATTTCGACAAGACTCTTAAAAAATGTCACTGCATGAGTTTGAAAGAAAAATCATACCTTTCTTTCTCTTTCTCTTTCTCTTTGTTTCTCTTCTCTCCCTCTCCTCTTGTTTTGTTGTTGTTATTGTCGTTTTTGTTTTGTTTTTGTGTGTCCTTTCTTTTCTTTTCTTCGATCAGCACCAGCCTCCTTTTCTCCAGTTGTGGGACCTTTTGCTTCACTCCATGCTACGAGTCTTCATCCTTTCAGGCCGACAACTCATGCCACTCCCTGGGACCTAACCTAGAGTAAATCTTGACCCGCCCAGGGTTGGGGGGAGCCATGGGGAGTTCAGCTTCATCGCTGGCCACCGAGACGGAGTCGGACCATGGCTTTACTGGCCCAACTTATCCTGGGCATCTGGCAGCAAGCTGGTATAGAAGTAACCATGGTGGCCCCGTTTGGGAGAGTGCCCTTATAACACGGCAACATCCGCACGTGAATCACCGGGCACGAAGGTAAGAAAGCCGGGGAAGGAGCTTGCTTTGGTCTCAGCTTGGTTGAAAACCCAAGGCTTGGGGTTACGGGGGGGGGGGGGATTTCCACCTGCAGCCCCATTAGAGGCCATGGGAAAACTCCCAACCCGGCTGCACAACTCACCTGGATGCATCTGGAAATGCGTTACACGTTCGGGTGCATGATAGTTACGCTGGCTGCTTGTGGCATGAGACTTTGGGTTGGGGTTGCTGGAAGAGATGTCCATCTGGTTCGGTTCCAAGCCGAGAGGAAGACACTGGAAACATGGAGGCTAGTGATGAAATGCTATCGGTTCGACCTGGTTCAACTGACCTGGTAGTAAATAAAGCTCCGATGATCAGCTGAGAGGAGAAAGAAGAGAAAAACGAAAGATCGGCCCTCCCACTGGCCCCCGTACATTTCTGTTCTTTATCCTCTCGGCTGATTGGAACAGCAGAGCCTCAGCTGGTGTTTGGAAAGCTGCACACATGTGTTAGGTGCGCGCATGCACGAAGTGTGTGAACACCAAACCGGTAGAATCCCACCACTGATGGAGGCGGATTGGAAAGATGGTTTAATGATGAAGCACAACCACCAAGCACATGGTTCTAGTGCAACTGACCACATGGAGTTGAGAATGGGAGGGTATTTATACTTTCTCTTGGGCTTTGCCCTTGAACTTGCTGTTCCTGTGCAAGAACATGTATTTTATTGGCTGTTGTCAGATTCCCATGGTGCCATGTATCAACCCTAGGAGTTTGTCTGAGCTAAGTTTGGTTGAAGTTTGGCTGATGCAATGAAGGGCAATTGTTGGGCAATACCTAATGCAGCTGAGATCTAACCCTACCTTTGTTCAGACCTTGCTGCAGGGAATTTGCTTATGAATAGAGCTAGCTGTCACAATAAGCTCTTTCTCTCTTAAGTGCTGACGTCTGCTGAGGGCCATACAAGAAAGGTGGGGACTGCTTTCTGTCTCCAAGAGCATGTTTCTCAATTTCTCATCCAGGGAAATATAATATTCTGCCTTTTTAAAAATATTTTTCAAAATATTTCATTCTTCTAGGAAGAGAGGTGGGTGCCATTGATCGAGGTGTGGGTGTTGTAGAAGTCAATACAAGTAGTCCTTGACTTACATCCACTCATGTAGCTACTAGTAGTCCTTGGCTTACGATACAATAGTTCGATTAGTGCAGAGGTCTCCAAACTCAACCCAGCATAGCTGGATGAGGAATTCTGGGAGTTGAAGTCCACAAGTCTTAAAGTTGCCCAGTTTGAGGACCTCTGGTTTAGGGAGTGTTCAAAGTTGCAGTGGCACTGGAAAAAAAAAACGTGATTTATGACCGTTTTTCACACTTTCGACGGCTGCAGCATCCCCACAGGTAGTTCTGAGGCTCCCCCTCTTAATCTACCTGTGACATCCTGGTGGAAAATTTGTCTAGAAAAGGTTGCGTCAGATTTAACCTGTCTTGAACAGTTTCCGTGTTTATATAAAATTAATTGGCCAGATCACACTTCTTTATTTTCAACCCTGTATCCATAATCTAAGGTTAAATGTTGAGAGAGAAAAAAATTGAATGAGTGCTAAGGTGTTAGCTTGGCTGATTATATAGACCCAAACCTTTTTCATGTTGTTTGAAAGTGTGTTCCTGCTCTCGGGCATTAACACAATAAGACGCTAAAATCCAAGCTTAGTTGAAATCCTTCTCGGAGAAAACTTATCAACTTCGGTCACTGTAAAATCTTCTTATTGGTGACCTTTTGCCCTTCTAGAAACAGCAGGACACGGTTTCCCACCTTTGGTTTATTTTAGATTCCCATTTTCTTAAATTATTTGCCCTAAACTTTTATCTCTTCGCTGGAAATCCCAAAGGTGCTTTTTCATGAGGCAACTGGACTTTCTTATTTTATTTTTTTTCTTTGAAGATGTTTCGCTTCTCATCCAAGAAGCTTCTTCGGCTCTGACTGGATGGTGCATAGTGGAAGGATTTATATTCCTTTGCAGACAGCTGGTCATTTGCATCTTTTTAGAGGGTTGTTGAGGCCACTTGCAGGTTTATCTGTGTCCTCAGGGTCATCTGAATTAGAGCTCCTGGTTCCTGTAGCCTGCAATTTTATTCCCGCTAGAAATCCATTCCTACTCCCACACCATTCCAAGGGTGTTCACCCCAAATTGCATAGCTAAAAGTCGATGACCTGAATGACTGAGAACCCCTACAGACTCTTAGCTGGAGAAAACATTTCCTGAGTCTAGGTTTACCTACTCGGGAGACACAGAAGGTGCCTAGTAACTTTTAATATCTAGAACGGAGCTGTCCAAGCTTGGCGACTTTAAGACCTGTGGACTTCGACTCCCAGAATTCCCCAGCCAGCATGGCAATTCTGGGAGTTGAAATCTGGGAGTTGAAGTCCAAAAGTTGCCATGGTTGGACATCCCTGATCTAGAGGGACTGATTTCACCATCCCTTGTAGCCACCAAGCCAAGATTCATGGAGATCGTAGCGCTAAGAATAGTCCGCAAACACAATTTCCTCTCCATTTCCTGATTTTGTTCCTCTGTCATGAAACTTACTAGTGAGAACAGCTGGCTATAAAATCCATGTCTGTCTCTCCCCCCCCCTCATTTTTCTCATCGAGCAATTAAAACTTGCCTTCCTCTGGAAGGGGTTAAGAGGGATGACAGTCTGTGTTGTAACTTTTTCGTGGGTTGAGAATTGTGCGGGAGAGGATCTAGCAATGTTTTAATCAAAAGAAAGAAGGGAGGGGGAATGGATGGGTGTTGAAATCTGCCATGTTGCACGCTAAGAATATTGGAATTTATGATTAATTCCAGCTTTTTATAGCTTTTTCAACTTGTTGAAGTGCCATGTGCCTGTTGAAAAACAGCAAGTAACTCCTTCCTCTGAGCTGCCATGTCTTGGAAAATATTTGTGTGCGTGTGTGTGTGTGTTTGCTCCTTGAGGAGTTTGAGTGCATGTGCTATATAACATGCAGATTTGGGGGAATCTTTCTGGCAAAATGTTCCTGGTGTGTTTGTTTGTTTTCATTTTTCAAGACGGACCTTGAAATTTCTTCCAGAGTTTCAGTAAAGTTCCCCCCTCCCCCGGGACTTGTCCTTTTTAATCAGGGGATCAGGAAGTGAATAATATCGAAAACAAGGTTCTGTTTTAACCTTGTGTTACTTTCTATATTGCTTCCCACCACGAATTTTCTTCCTCATTGTTGTTCCTGTTTCTTCTTCTTCTTCTTCTTCTTCTTCTTCTTCTTCTTCTTCTTCTT